CAATGGGGGAGTGATGTCAGACAAGCATTTCATACACCTGCAGAGTGACAGGACCTAGACACTCCTTTTGTGAGAAGCACAGTCTGTTTTGGGCCTTTGTCTGCACTTCCCTGTAGCTACAAGATATCTGTAAATTTTGGTTTGGGCAAAAAAACCTGCTTGGGCAAAGTGTAGCCAGCTCTATGCTTGACGAAGAACTACAAGTCTTAGAATGATAGCATGCTGGGACTTTTAGTTCCTTGATGGTTATAGAAATGCTTTTCATCCAAGTCTGAAACCACAACAACACAGGAGAAGGCAGCAACAAGAAGCAGAGATATTATAAATCCACCAGTAAAGACAGAAGGTCTAGTTCAAAGAGGACCATGCTAAGCATCCAGGAAGGCAAGAGTGCATCTAGACATAGGTCTAGAAAAACAAAATGACCAATACAAGGGTGCAGCAAAAAATCAACGGTCCACTACAGAGATGGTCCCAAAGACAGGGGAGTCTACTTTTAGGAAAACCTTTACAGTGGTCAATGAGAAAGTCACTGGTTTTCTACAGAGACAGTCCCAAAGACAGGGGAGTCTACTTCTAGGAAGACTATTATAATGGTCAAGTAAGAATATCACTGACCCCTACAGAGGTTGGTTGCTGAGAAAAGTCTGCATCAGGCCTTAAAGCCTTGGTGCTCTAAATGTAGGTTGAGAACCCAAGATTGCACCATCCAGTTAAGGTCATGATAAAGTTTAGGGTCTGTACCAAATATACAGTGGAAGAAGTCACCTGGTTAGGACTTCTAAGGGAGTTTATGCCTTGTAGATTCTGGAAGATGTCTAAGAATCACCCCCTATCAAAAGACTGTGGAGGTCCTTTATTGGGGCCTGGCACCAAGAGATTGGGATCTCACCCCAAGTTTTCACCTGAAGGAGATGGTACAGACCCCCTACTAGGCTTTGTCCACTGTAGGCATTTGCAAAGAGCCTTTTCCTGGTGTCTGTCCCTATAAGAAGAAAGCAGTGGTTCTCTATAAATATCTGTCTTCAGGAGATGTTAGGTCTCAAGAAGTTTGTCCACCAGAAGGTAGTGTTAGTAGTTCTCTAGAGGAGTCTTGTCTCAAGGAGGAGATGACAATTCTCCTCAACAGGAGTCTTCCCCAGGTGCAGACAGTAGTGGTCTTTGAAGGGGTTATCCCCAAGTTGGAAGAAGAAGTTGGCCTTTACAGGAGTCTGCTCCCAAGTGGAGGTAATAGTTGTCTTCTACAGGGGCCTGCCCCCAGGTAGACCTTGCAGTGCTCTTTTACAGGGTTCTGTCCCCAGGCAGGCAGCAGTGGTCTTTTACAGCTGGAGGTAGAAGTTGCCTTCTACATGGGTCAGCTCCCAGGTGCAGCTAGTAGTTGTCTTCTACAGGGTGCTGCACCTAGGTGGAGGTGGTAGTTGTCTTCTACAGGGTTCTGCCCCCATGTGGAGTTAGCAGTGGTTTTCTACAGAAGTCTACCTCCATATGGATTTAGTAGTGACCTTGTAAAGGAGTCTGCCCCCAGGTTGAAGTAGTAGTGGTCCTTTACAGAGTACGTGCCCAGGTGAAAATAATAGCGGTCCTTTAAAGAGTCTGTCCCCAGGTGAAGATAGCAGTAGTACTTTACAATGTCTGCCCCAGGGTGGAGGAATCAGCGGTCCTTTACAGGAGTCTGCCCCTAGGTGGAGGTAGTAGTGGTCCTCTACAGGAGTCAGCCCCTAGATGGAGGTAGTAGTGGTCCTTTACAGGAGTCTGCCCCTAGGTGGAGGTAGTAGTGGTCCTCTACAGGAGTCTGCCCCTAGGTGGAGGTAGTAGTGGTCCCCTACAGGAGTCAGCCCCTAGGTGAAGGTAGCAGTGGTCCTCTACAGGACTCTGACTCCCGAAGGAGATGCTGTGCCCTGCATCCAGGGGAAATATTCTAGGAATTTCTCCATCACTACTACCCATGGCTTCTAACATCTTCACAAGCTTGGAGACCCCATAGCCCCCAACCCCAGCCCATGACACTGACCTCCTTGAGTTGCTCCAGCTCCTGCTTCAGAGTGTCATACTCTGCCTCCAGTTCATCATACTGCTGCTTCAAGGAGAGCTTCTCTTCCAGCACCACCAGCCCATACTCTGCAGCCTGGATCTTCTCCTGGGTGGTCTCGCTCAGCTCCTTGGTCAACCTCTCAATCTCAGCCTTGTAATCCTCCACAGTCTGCGGTATCTCCTCAGCAGCCATAGTCCCTTGTGCTGGGAGTGAGACTGGAGGGACAGATGGGTGGGGAGGGGAGACACACAGAGGAAGGGGGATGAGCAGGGATGAGGTGGGAGGCTGCTGGATGGGTACCAGCGAAGGATCACACACAGCTCTGCAGCATCATGGCATGTAGAGGCAGCAACCTGCTCTGCCCATCTCCTGGGCCCCTCCACCTGCCCCGGGTACCCCCTCCTTCCCACCCCGCATGGACCACTCTCCGCTATTCTGCTTATTCATAGAGGAGACTGAAGAGGAGGCAGCGCCATCCCTACCCGGCCGCGTCACTGCAGTGTGAACTTTCCACCCGCTCCCCCCGCCACCGGCTCACAAGTGATGCAGTCTGCCAGCAGCGGGCACCCACTACACTGGACCGGGCAGGGCACATGTCAGCGAATGGGGGGAGGTAGAGGTGTCAGGATGAATATAGGATGGAGGAAGGGGTGGCAGGTGGGGGGGTCTGTGATACAAATAATAAAATAGGCCATTCATTCTCTTTCAATGGCCTTTCTGTGTATCCCTCCTTGTGTCTGTGCATTCCATACCATTCCATACCATTCCATCTATCTTTTATAAGCTATAAACATATCAATTTGTCTATTATTATCCTTCTATCTACCCATCTATATATTTATCCATCTATTTCCCCGGCAATTTGTCTGTCTCTATTCATCAAACAATCAATCAATCTATCTATCTATCTATCTATCTATCTATCTATCTATCTATCTATCTATCTGTCTATCTACTACCTACCTACCTATCTATCTATCTAATCTTTCCATCCATTCTCTCTCTATCTGTCTATCTATCTATCTATCTTTTATAATCTATCAACCTATCCATTTGTCAATTTGTCTATATTTATCTATATGTGGGTTAATATATCTATCCATCTCTGCCCCCCCCCCCAGCAATTTGTCTATTTGTCTCTATTGATCAATCAATCTATCCATTATCAACCTATCCATTATCTATCTATCTATCTATCTATCTATCTATCTATCTATCTATCTATCTATCTATCTATCTATCTATCCATCCTTGTATTTAGTTATTGTGACCAACAACACTACCATCAGTCCCTCCCCTCAAGCCAGTGTACTAGGTGTCATCCTAGACTCCAATCTGTCCTTCGAGCCCCGAGTCCAATCGCTGACTAACTCATGTAGACTTCACCTCCACAACATCTCCAAAATACATCCGTTCCCCTAACCTCGGAAACCACTAAGCAACTCATTCACTCCCTTATTATTTCACAACTTGACTACTGTAACTCCCTCACTCATCGGCTTACCTCACCGCAGGCTATCCCAGCTTCAGTCCATCTTGAATGCTGTGGCCAGACTCATCCACCTCACAAACCGCTCCGTATCCATCACCCCTCTCTGCCAATCCCTCCACTGGCTTCCGATTGCCCAACGGATAAAATTCAAAATGCTAACATTGACGTACAAAGCTGTTCATAATACTGCCCCAAACTACATCACTGATCTGGTATCCAAATACCACCCAAAACGTACTGTCCGCTCCTCACAAGACCTCCTACTCTTTAGTTCCCTGGTCTCCTCCTCCCATGCCCGCCTCCAAGACTTCTCCAGGGCTTCCCCCATCCTCTGGAACTCTCTACCCCAATCCATCAGACTATCACCTACTCTCCTCACCCTGAAAACCTATCTCCTCAGGGAAGCCTACCCCGCCCTCAGCTAATTACTGAACTCCTCCACTCTGCCTACCACTCCATCCCCCACAGTTATTTCCTCCTGTACCACTATCCCCTCCCTCCTAGATTGTAAGCTCCAAGGGGCAGGGCCCTCGAACCCCTCGTATATTGAATTGTATTGTTACTGTACTGTCTCGTGTACTGTCTCTCATTGTAATGTAAAGTGCTGAGCAAACTATTGGCGCTATATAAATCCTGTATAATAAATATTAATAATAATTTATATGTTTGTCTCTCTTTCAATAACTGAGAACCTCCTTTATAGTATACATCGCAGTAATGCAGCCCTTATATGTGTAATGGGCTGACAGCACACATTAATGCAGAATTTCACTTAGTGTTGTTTACTTGCCTCTCTCAAAAGCACTAAGTGTCTTTTCTCTCTCTGCTGCTGCCCAGATCCTCTGGTTTTCTTGTTTTCCTGACATCAAGATCTAAAAAGGTGACGAGGGAGGGAGCTCCAGCACACAGCCTGTGATTGACATCCTCAGCTCTGTTCCTGTGTGCTGTGTGAAGGGGGGGGTGCCCCTTCCCTCCAATTAGCTCTCAGAGCTCTTGTGCAATACTGTATGTAACTGCAGCTCCCTATCCCCTGCTTTACAAGCATATGAAAAATCCTTTTCATCTCTTGAGTTGTAAGGATATACAGGACAAATGGCTGCAAATAAACAGGTACAACATATGTAGGAGGATTTGTTTATTCTCTGCATATCACCTGATACTAATGACATCACTGGGTATCTGTAAGGGTTTACAACCACTTTAAGGCTGAAAGTTCCATTCCTCCTCCTCCATTTTTTGCATGTGTTTTCTGGGAGCAGGTATCGTTTTCTGACAGGTACTTTCTCCCAATTCCGCACTTCTTTTCTATGAAAGAATTGCAGAAGTTTAGCCTTTCTCCTCCCTACCTGGGACATGACATGTGACGTGTCCCAGGAGGCTGTGGAACCAGTCTGAAATCTCAGCTTCCTCACACAGTGGGGAGCCAGCTGTGAAAGAGTAGTGGCTTTCCACACTCACCATGACAGTGCTGGGGACAGGGGCGGACTGACCATTTGGAAACTTGGGCACTGTCCGAGGGCCCAGGGTCAGTAGGGGGCCCCATGAGATGCCCCTGGTACCTTTTTCATAGGCTTTTTTGAGTTTGGGCAAGGATACAGGGGCCCCATGATCCCCTATTGCCCGAGGGCCCCATGAGTTGTCAGTCAGCCCCTGGCTGGGGATCCAAAGACTGGCAATGAACTGGCCCTGGTGAAGACAGTGTTGGACTACTGGGCTGGTAAGTGTCTGTTTCTTAAAATACTCTTTTTTGCAATAGCTGTGGTCCTGCTTTAAACAGGAACTTCAGTGTTTGATCTTGGCTCCGCCCCTCCACCACCGCCATTATTTTCAATAGGCCTTTACATGCACAGATATGCTGAAGGGTTCTACCCAGCCTTTAGGACCTGGCAGAGCCCTGTGGTGCATCTGCACACATGCTGAGCCATGCTCACTCATGTGGAGGGAAAGAGGTCCTGGGCTGCCTTCATTGTTCAGTCCTTGCATGCACATGGAAATCCTCATGTGAACTGTTGTGCCGAAGATGGCTGCCGAGTCCGGCAGCCCGGTAGAGCTCTTCAGCACATCTACACTCATACACAATCTCATTCTCATCTAGGAAAGAAAGGAAGACATGCTGCCCAGTGCAGAACATAAAAAAAGCAACTAACAACAATAAATATATCCAATTTTGGAAGGGGGAGGGGTTGGAGCCAGGTACACCCACACTGTCTTTCAGGTTCGAATGTCTGCGATAACAAAGGAAAATAAAGAACCTATACTTTGTGGGCAACATATCAGTCCAATTGGAGCAGCAAAGTGAAGATCAGTATAAAAAGGTGGGAGTTTAGGGTCTGTCCCCAATTAAGAGGACCTGTTGTACTGCTCAGCATGGGGACAGCACAGGCCCACTTTAACTGCCTCCTGCCCACCATATAAGGAAATGACGTTCTGGGAGGACATCATATGATGCCCCCCACTCAAGCTGCACTTGCGACCCCTGGGGCGTGTGGCACGGTGATCGGTGCTGTGCTGTGTCCCTGGGACACAGCGGATCACTGATCGCAATAATGAGAGCCGATGATATAGGCTCTATCATGTGATCAGCTGTATCCAATCACAGCTGATCACATGTAAATAGTTAATGCTGGTTATTGGCAGTCCTCTCCTCATGCTGACAGCGCGTGAGGAGAGGAGAGCCGGTAAGCGGCATTCCTCAGAGGGGACATGTACACTGATCATAAGGGCAATGATGATCAGTGTTACCCCATCAGTGCCACCTGTCAGTGCCCATAATTGCCACCTGTCAATGCCCACCAATGCCACATACCAGTGCCCATCAGTGCACATCAATGCCACATATCAGTGCCCATCAGAGCTGCCTTTCAGTGCCAACTATTAGTGCGAGTCAGTGCTGCCTATCAGTGGCAGTCAGTACCGCCTATCAGTGCCACCTATCAGTGCCGCCGATCAATGCCGCCTATCAGTGCCACCTAACAGTTCCAATCAATGCCGCCTATCAGTGCCAGTCAGTGCTGCCTATCAGTGCCCATCAGTGCCTGCCTATCATTGCCATATATGAGTGCTGCCTTTCAGTGCACATCAGTGATGCCTATCAATGCCCATCGGTGTTGCCTATCAGTGCCTCCTTATCAGTGCCGCCTATGAGTGCCAATCCGTGAAGCCTATCAGTGCCCATCACTGCAACCTAATTAGCGCACATCAGTGAAGGAGAAAAAATCCTTATTTACAAGATTTTATAACAGAAACTAAGAAAAAAAATATTTTTTTCCAAAATTTTCAGTCTTTTTTAGTTTGTTTACAAAAAATAAAAAAAAAAAACTCAGTGGTGATTAAATACCACCAAAAGAAAGCTCTATCTGTCTAAAAGAAATTATAAAAATGTTGTTTTTTGGTACAGTGTTGCATGACTTCGCAATTGTCATTCAAAGTGTGACAGCGCTGAGAGCTGGAAATTGGCCTGGGCAGGAAGAGGGTAAAAGTGCCGAGTAGGCTAGTGGCTAAATCTTCATTTCTTGAAGATTTACAAACTGTAGTAAAATACAGGCCCCTTTCGCCCATCTCAGTTGATGGCTTCTCATGTACCCCAGTTGCCTGAACTCCAGTACCCTCTTGCAGTACTAAGAGTAAGCCCATGGGGGGTCTCTAGAAGTAGTGATGGGCTGAAGACACTTGGGTTTGATTCTGGGCAGGTTCAGCAAACATGAGTAAAGTTCCAGTGCCAAATCTAAACCCCACTGAAGTCAATGGATGCCTAGTAAAATTAGTTCTGATCATTTTCTAGGCTATTAGGCAGGAGATTGTCAAACAAATGGCATGGGGGGCTGAGCTCTGCCCTTTGAGACATGTACTAAAGAAAAAAAAATAAAACAAATGTAGTTTGGAGGGGAGCAGCGATTTTATCAATGCTTATAGAAAAACATTAAAAAAAGTAAAACTCAGTTAAACAATCTGCCTGGGGGGGGGGTGCCCTGACCCTGGCTGTGAAGTGTGCAATGTATATAACCTACTACAGCAACACTGACATGTACAAAGAAAATGTTTGTTTATCCACTTGCCCTCCAGAGGATTTACCCCCATTCCTGACCAGGCCATGTTTTTGCATTACAGCGCTGCTTTACTTTAACTGACAATTGCGCTGTCAAGCAACGCTGCACCCAAATAAAACTTATGTCTTTTTTACCCATGAATAGAGCTTTCTTTCAGTGGTATTTGATTGCCTGTGCGTTTTTATTTTTTTTTGCGCTATAAAATAAAAGACTGAGAATTTTGAGAAAAAAAAATATTTTTGACTTTTTGCTATTAAACATATCCAGTAAAAAAAATTAAAAAATAAAATGTCGTCCTAAATTTAGGCCAAAATGTATTCTGCTACATGTCTTTGCTAAAAAAAATCCCAATACGTGTAAATTCATTGGTTTACGTGACAGTTATAGCGTTTACAAACGGCGGTATATATACTGGGATGGCGGTGATCAGCGACTTATAGCGGGACAGTGGGACTGCAGCAGGCATTCTGACACTGGGGGGAACTGACTTCGTGTCACTGATATCCCCAGTGACACCAATACAGTGATCAGTGCTAATATAAAGCACTGACACTGTACTAATGGCACTGGGCAGGAAGGGGTTAACATGTGGAGCGATCAAAGGGTTAACTGTGTGCTGCTTTACTGTAAGCTGTGTGTGTGTGCTTCACTGTAGGCACACTGCTATGTATGGCTCTGCTATGCAAAGCCATGCAAAGCAGTGTGCAGGAGCTGACAGGGGAGAGAATTGTATTGTTTACTTACAGTTCTCTCCCTCCGTCACTAATGCTCCTTGACCCCAGGACCCGGTTATTGACAGCTGAGGCTGAAATGCAAAATCACGTATATATATATATACGTGATTTTGCACACCCCTGCCACCCTGTAGTGGTATATCTGCTATAGGATGGCGGGGGAAAGCATTTAACCACCTCCTGTCCAGCCGTTGTATATATACGGCCGGACAGTGGCACTGCAGGGTCGGGTGGCCGTTTATAAATGGCCTCCCCGCCCCCTGCTTGTGCACGCTCCCTGGGAGTGCGCAGCACCGCGATCCAGTGCCCGCTGTGTCCTCCGGAACACTGATCGTCGTACGGAACCTCTCTACGAGGTCTCGATCATGTGATCACTGATTGGCCAATCAGTGATCACATGCAGAGTAGTAAGCAAGATGTCACTTCTGACATCATTGCTTACTATGTGTGAAATCTGTGACTGATCACAGAGGTCACATGGTACAAGGCTATTCACAACAGCCTTGTACCATGTGACAAACTGTGACCAATCACAGCTCACACAGTAGTTCTCAATGGCTGCAAGAATGCAGCCAGAGAAAATGAGAAATGATTGCTTTTACAGCCTTTATGGGTGTAAAAGCCATCAGTGTAAAAAAAAAAAAAACCCCCCACAAGTAGTACAGTGTCACCATGGTGACACTGTACTGCTAGGGTGACAGTACGTAAAAAAAAAACAAATAATAATATAAGAAAAAAATTAAAATTAAAAAAAAAGTTTAAAAATTATAATTTTTGGTTATAAACTAATTTGGGTTATTAAAGAAAACAGAATAAATTTTGGCCAAGATTTATTATGAAATATTATTTATTTGCAAAATTTTATAAGAAAAACACTTTTTTTCTAAATTTTTGGACTTTTTCATTTACATAGCAAAAAACTAAAAATCCCAGTGGTGAATAACCACCAAAATAAATCTTTATCTGTCAAAAAAAAAAATGCTAACAAATTCACATGGGTACAGTGTTGCATGACCGCGCAATTGACATTCAAAGTGTGATAGCACTGAAAGCTGAAAATTGGCCTGGACAGGAAGGGGGTAAAAGTGCCCGGACTGGAAGTGGTTAAGGACCAGCTGCAATGAACTATGGATGGGTGGCCCATGTAGGCAAAGCGACGTACTGGTACGTTCTTGTCTGCTTCCAGGTTTATCATCCTCTCTGACTGTACACAGCGGGAGTCTGAAGTCCCAGTCGATGATTCATGTCCAGGACCTGCTGATTGGATGTGTTCAATCACAGCCCAGAGCTCTGTGTTGACAATTAACACAGGGCTCTGTGCAGAAGGAACAATCTACCTCTGTTTTGCAGGAATAAGAAACAGAGATCTGTTAGTAAAAGCAGCACATAAAACACACGTTATACATTGTCAGGCATTGTCAGGCATTGTCAGGCACACATTAAACCTCTTGATTGGCCTAGATGCTGAAGCCCGCTGTGGGCTGATGTCACAAAGCTGATCCAAGCTGGGGAAATATTACGACCATATGGTTGGGATCCACCCAGGAGCCTGGACTGACACCTGGCTCAGTCTTTCAGCAAGCTGCTGAGAGCCCAAGCTAGTCCATCCGGCCCCCTGCACAGCCCATCGCTTCAGTAAGCACTGAGGGGGGCAGAGCAGAGAACAGTTACTTACAGTCACCGCTCTCTGCTCAGAGTGGAGAGTAGAACTGAGAGATCAGCACTGTCTGATCACTCACTTCTCTCCATTAGAGCTGGTGGGAAACAGATGTCCTGAAGTCCGATATGTTTTGACCCTCAGACACCATTTTTGTTACCCATTGTTGACCAAATCTATAGATTGTGAAATATAATATTTCTCTAATATGCTTGGTAAATGAAGAGTTCTTACCCAGAAGTGAAAGGTTTGACACAACAACCAAAATTTATTGGTAAAGAGGATAGAGTTCTAAACTAACACAAACAATCTATCTAGTTACATAAAAGAAACATTATTAACAAAGCTTGAACGTATTACAAAATACAAACAGTGAGACAGAAAAGACATAAGACAAACATTTAGATACAAGTGCAAGGGATATATTCCATAATTACCATGGAACTGGACGTACAAGTTTCATTCCCTTCCCCTGGTGTTCCAAAGAGCCTCTCTCTCTCTAGTGTCCATAGTTATAGGCCTCTCCTCAATTAAATTTCAGGGAGTATCTGATTGGTTGGCCATACTATTCCCTTTCATACTTGGCTAACTTCAAATCCCCTGTATTTAGCATACACCAACCCCCTTTAAGGCAAATCTTGGCACACCCTTTATGGAATTTAAGCTTGCCAGTTCATGACCCTTTCCTGGGAAACTAAGTATTCATGAATGGCTGGCCACCTTCATTGCATATCTAAATGAGTTACGCTTTGAAGTGCATAATTGTGAAGCCAACAGGTTTTTTCCCATTGTTAGATAAACTAACTTTGGCACTGAACTGTCTGAAAGAGGATTCTCAGCAAAGACGTCTGTTATACAGTAAAGAAGGTGTAATCAATAGAATATTCCCTTTGGCGACTATGTTATCTATAGAACAGGAATTTATGGGAAGACATATTGCATACCCAGACTGATACAGCTCTAACTGAAATATATTCATAATTACAATATTATTTACAGTGTTTAATGGAGATTTCACATAAACTCATTATCTAACACCATCTCTGGACTCACTCTATCTTATCAATATATTTTTGTAAGTGAGGTCTCCAGAATTGGACACAGTATTCTAAATGAGGTCTAAATAAAGATCTATATAGGGGAATCAGGACCTCCTTCCATCTGCTGGTAACCCCTCTAGTGATGCATCCTATTCGCTTTCCCCACTGCCTGGTCACACTGTTTTCTTATTCTGCAATCATCTGAAATAAGTACCCCCAAATCATTTTCTTCTGAAGTGCTGGCCAACACTGTACCTTCAGTGTTGTACTTTCTGAAGGGTTTCTCTTTCCCTAGGTGCATTATTTAGAAACATTGAACTGCAGTTTCCACTTCCAATCTTCCAGCAATGCCAGATGATCATCCATGTTACAGACACCACCATGGATATCAACC